CAGGGTTTCACCATGTTGACCAGGATGGTCTCGATCTCTTGACCTCGTGATCCACCCGCCTCGGCCTCCCAAAGTGCTGGGATTACAGGCTTGAGCCACCGCGCCCGGCCAACTTTTTATAACTCTTTACAATTTTTGCTAAAGAGCAGATTAGTGCTCTAAGGGAAACCCATTGTGCTTTTATTTTAATGCTCAATTTACAGAAAAAACTGGATGATACCCCTTTAACTTTGGCCAATATGTTTACACACAGTATTTCCTTTACAATCAACCTTCCACAACTCGCTTAAGCATTCATCTTTGTCTTATCCAACTTAAAACAATCCTTAAATCTTTTTATCTAGGCAAAATCCACATTCTCATGCCTCCTAACAATCTTTTTACCAAAAGTATATTTTACTTTCCTTACATACTTTGCATGTAAATTGTTTCTTCAATAGTGTTAAACACATATTACACTGTTAACTCTTAGCAAACTTTACTTTTGGTGAAAACTTTGGTAAATTGGGATTTTAATTATGTACTAGGTGTGGAGCTTAGGACCTAGAGAGAAGTGCAGATAAGGTCTGACTTATTCCAGCGTCTAACTCCATGTGTCCTAGGACTTACCTAGCTGTAAAGCAGGCAACCTGTACAGCTAAGAGTCATAAAGCATTTAGGAGGCCTAATCACCTTTAAGTTGCACAACATTTCTTGAATAAATTCCCTTTCATAAATTCATTCATGACTTACACAGACAATCCCTGACAGACCGTGACTAGAATCTAATGCTCCAAAATAAACTGAACAATTTTTAAGTCAAAGAAGCAGTTTTTATGACCTAGATCATTTAGCAAACCCAATATTTGACCTGCATATTTTAGACCAAATATTTACATTTTTGAAGATATTTTTATTTTACCACTAATCTCTAAAACTCTCTTTATTTTTATTTTATTTTATTTTATTTTTATTTTTATTTATTTATTTTTTTGAGACGGAGTTTCACTCATGTTACCCAGGCTGGAGTGCAATGGCGCGATCTCGGCTCACCGCAACCTCCGCCTCCTGGGTTCAGGCAATTCTCCTGCCTCAGCCTCCTGAGTAGCTGGGATTACAGGCACGCACCACCATGTCCAGCTAATTTTTTGTATTTTTAGGAGAGACGGGGTTTCACCATGTTGACCAGGATGGCCTCGATCTCTTGACCTCGTGATCCACCCGCCTCTGCCTCCCAGAGTGCTGGGATTACAGGCTTGAGCCACCGCGCCCGGCAAACTCTCTTTATTTTTGTAACTTTCTTTATGTCTCTCTTACTTCCTGGTTTTTTTTTACCTTGCTTTATATATAACCTTTACATAAGCTTTGAATTAGACAAAAATTAGTTACCCTTTAGAAAGGACACAACTTTTAGAAAGAATGTTTTCCTACAATATATTTTTATTGGAAAATACCCAAATAATGAAATATCTGTTGTTTAATTTAACTTCAGATTCTAAATTATGACAAGTTTGTTTATGAGTATTTATCCCATTACATTTATCTAATTATTTATTTTAATCATTTACCATCTTCCTTCTAACCTCCAAGCTATTCTTGTTCATTAACTTAATTTATAGTGGAGCTTTAAAACAGAGATGATAAGAGTTCTTTCCCAGAACAAACTTCTTTCATGTCTGTGGACGAGACTGCCTAAAGCCACAAGAGTGGTAGTTGGGTATTTTACTAAATAATTCAAGATGTAGCTATCTTCATTAAACCCATATTAATGTTTCATTTATTAAAAATTACACAAGCAAAGATTATTCTGTTTGGGGCTGAGTTATAGTTTTGTAGCCTCTTTGCCAAATTTTGACACCTTAAAGTATTTGACAGAGATGAATATGAAACTGCTCAATCAATAAATGCAAACACAAATGTATGCTGGCAACTCAAGGCATTTCTAATATTACTTTACCAATAATTTTTAAAGCTAGCTTAATGTATTAAAGATTTTATTTAAGTCACGTAAACTTGAAAAAGCATTTGACTAGTCTTTCCTTTTTTCTGTTAAAGTATTTAAGCACTTTTATTTTTCTTTGAGCCAATTAATTAGAACTCTTTTATATATTTTCAGTAGCGAAACATGGTGTACACAAGACATACATACACAGATGTATTAGGCATGCCAATAGAAGAACATTTTATAGATTCATAAGACCTCCTTTTTCCTTTCTTTTAACTGGATCTTTGTGCTCTGGGCAGAGCTCACACTGAATCCTGGGTTTTCAAAAAGGAAGAATTATTGTGAAAGTAGACCATGCGAGGCTTTTACAGTGCATTTAAAAATTATTTTTTCCCTAGCCAGGCACAGTGGCTCATGCCTATAATTCCAGCACTTCGGGAGGCCAAGGCAGGTGGATCATGAGGTCAGGAGTTCAAGACCAGCCTGGCCAACGTGATGAAACCCTGTCTCCACTAAAAATACAAAAATTAGCAGGGTGTGGTGACATACACCTATAGTCCCAGCTACTCAGGAGGCTGAGGCAGCAGAATTGCTTGAACCCAGGAGGCAGAGGTTGCAGTGAGCGAAGACTCTGGAGTGCCATTGCACTCCAGCCTGGGTGACAGAGTGAGACTCTGTCTCAAAAAACAAATTTTTTTTTCTGAAACAAAGACATTTCTAAGTGTCTAAATTACACTTTTTCTTAAAAACCCCAGAGTAGCTTCTGTTGCAATAGTGATTAACCAAGAAAACAGAATTTAGTCAATTGAGAAGAAAAAAACTTTTACTCAAAAAGACAAGGTCCTAGGAGAGAAATAAAAAGTAAAACATGAAGCCCTTTTAAATACAAACATGCACACATACATATACACATCTTGGATGTTAGCTTTTAATTAAGCTGATTCTCAACCACTGAGCTTCTAAAAACTATTTTTCTTTCCCGGTGGCCTCTTAGCAGGAGTGGACCCAATACCTCTCATTTTCTTTTTGTTTTGTTTTCGAGATGAAGTCTTGCTCTGTTGACCAGGCTGGAGTGCAGTGGCAGGATCTTGGCTCACTGCACCTTCTGCCTCTTGGGTTCAAGCGATACTCCTGCCTCAGCCTCCCGAGTAGCTGGGACTACAGGTGTGTGCCACCATGCCCTGCTAATTTTTGTGTTTTTAGTAGAGATGAGGTTTCACCATGTCGGCCAGGCTGGTCTCAAACTCCTGACCTCGTGATCCACGTGCCTCAGGCTCCCAAAATGCTGGGATTACAGGAATGAGCCACCGCGCCCACAGAATATCTCCCCTTTTCAAGTTTACATGCCATCAAAGGGAAAAAGACAGACACACAAATAAGTGGAGACAAATTTGGAACAACACAAGGGGGAGTGCACTCAGGCAAAACAGACTCAAAACCAACTCAAAACCTGATCTCAATGAAAATGCAAAGAGTGAATATGCAAAGCGTGGCATCATCCCTCCCGGTCTCTTCTGGCTGGCTTGCCAAATTTTGTTCCTGGATCAAACTGAGGGTTGGGGCTGCTATTTCTTGTGGCCCAATAATGAGATGCAGATGAACAGGGGAGAAAGAGTTTTTATTTCTATAACCGGTTACAGGGAGAAGGCCTGGAAATTATCACCAGACCACCTCAGAATTTTCCAGAGCTTATATACCTTCTAAGCTATATGTCTATATGTAAGTGTGCATTCATCTAGAAATGCAAGTGATTAACTTCTGTTAATCTATAACTAAGGTCTGAGTCTTGAAGACCTGCTTCTGGAGCCTCAGTAAGTTTACTTAATCTAAATGGGTCCAGGTGCTGGGGTGATTACCCTTATCCTGTCTCCTGCTAAATCATGGAGGTCTGGGGAGTTTCTTCAGACCCCCAGTAAAACTTGTTTGATGATATTTTGAGGTTCAGGAAAGGCCTAGGCAAAACTCTTGGTGGGCTTTTGTTAACATCCGAGCACTGACTTTTAAAATGTAGCTTAACTGCTCAGTCAGTACTGAAACAGCTGTTACGGAGCCCTGTGTTAGTGAGACCTGCCCTGCCACACTCCTCTCCCTAAATCAAGCTTGAGAAGCAGCAAAAAAGAACAGGACCAAGGATCCACAGGTTCAGCAACAGCACCGCTTTTGGTAAAATTTTTGTTGTTAGTTAGACGAGTATTAAAAGGATAAAAATACCACGAGGTTTATGTAAGAAAAAAATTTTCAAAACTTAAAAATGATAAAATTTCACTAGAAAGCTCAAATACATGTTTTCTTGTAAAAGGAGTCCTTCTTGACCACCCACCTCAATCCCACACTGCTCTCAGAAGATTTTTTTAAACAGTTTCTGGTCGGGCGCAGTGGCTCATGCCTGTAATCCCAGCACTTTGGGAGGCCAAGGTAGGTAGATCACTTGAGGTGAGAATTTGAGACCAGCCTGGCCAATATGGTGAAGCCCTGTCTCTACTAAAAAATAAAAATACAAAACTAGCCAGGTGTGGTGGTGCTTACCTGTGGTCCCAGCTATACAGGACGGTGAGGCAGGATAATTGCTTGAACCTGGGAGGTGGAGGTTGCAGTGAGCAGAGATTGCCTACTGCACTCCAGCCTGGGTGACAGAGTGAGACTTCATCTCAAAAAAAAAAAAAAAAAAAAAG